GGGGGTCTGACATCAGCAACATGCGCCATTAGACATTAGTCACGACAGTGAGCCAGCAGCCCCCTGGTCCTCTGTGTCCCCTGGGCTAAAGAACCAGGAAGGAATGGTTCTGATGGACACCTGTTGCAGCTCATCTCTGTCAAATGAGTTCATACACCACAGGCTGCATCAGTGACCGCGTGTGTGGAAACAGCTATGTTTAAGGCAGAAGCCTGTAGGGAGGGAGAAGCAAAATGAGTGCCAAATGTGGAACAGCTGCTAAATGGGGATCTGGAGAGGAGAGGGGCTGCACAGGCATTAATACAGCTACAGAAACACTGTCCACCACATTCTGCAATAGCTTTTTCTGGACTCTGTCATATTCCACTGACGTTACATCTCACCCTGAAATATTCATCAGAAGAAGAGAGGGCCAAGTGCTGCCTCTAGAGAGGCTGTCAATGGAAACAACTTTGCAGGACTGATCTGTGACAATCACACACAGTACATAAAAATGATACTTTTGTCATAGCACATTTATTGCTGTAAAAATCACAATCAGTTTACATAAATCCACCTTTAATCCACTCCTCATCTGGTCTTTCTGTTTGTACATTATTCACTTGTATTTATTTACTAATGTACAAAAACTGTCACAGTGTTTAAAATCTCTAAACACACAGCAACATTTCTGTGGTCTTAGGAAAATTTGGACAGGAGAGCAGCCAACTGGTGTTGGATTTACTGCTGAGCACCAGTTTTGCTAGACATGCTGTGGCACAGTGGCTTCCCGAGGACTTAATATAATACATCCATAGCACTCACAGATGTGACAAGGGAATACACTGATCCTGGACTAGAGAGAAGAGATTCACTGAGGTGACCAAAGCCGAGAGGAGTGAAGGATGGCGAGGAGGAGGAGGAGGAGGTGAGTGGTGTGATGTGTGAGTAAAAATGGAGAAGGGAGGGGGCAAAAATCTGCAGAGATAAAGTTAAAGAGAGACAGAAATCTTAATCAAGACAAAAGGAAAACAACACAGACGACAGAGAGGAATCACATCTCTTCTTCTGTGGAACACAACACTGGCAGCCAGAGGCCTCTCTCCGTCTTCCTGGTCCCCATGAGGATGCACAGATGGTGGGATAGAAAGTCACACTGTCTAACAAATTAATGACCTAGAACTGGTCAAAGCCCAGAGTTAGAACCTGGGTACGATGGTCTCCTGGGTTATGCGCTCAGATTGAGTAGACATAACTCACACTGGTTGAAGTAATGACATTGACAGAAGAGAGATAACAAAAAGGGCATGAGCAAAGTAGAGCAGACATTATGAGCTTTTGGTCAGTTGGGAGCAGCACAACAAGCTGTAAACACAACACTGACATTTTATCACCTTTTAAAGCTGATATGGTGTAAAGAGCAACAAATATATTCATGTGAAACTGTGTTTTTAAGCTGTGACCAGAGGCAATGTGATTTCAGGTTGTCCGT